GCCTGTGGGGTCGGTGACACCTTCGACCCGGTGTCCTGCGAGTTTGGTTGCTCGTTGTGGCTCGGTTACCCAGTTGTGCTAACAAAGCGGGTGCGGGCAGCAGGGGCGTTGCACTTGAGCCTTGGTGGTGGCAACGTTCTCGTGGTTTCCTCCCCGGGAGCCCCGGGGCTGCCCCGTTGTATTTCGTTTTGGGACTTGGGGGTGTTGGTTGCTTCGGTTCCATCCACGCCCCCTTGTCTTTCCCCTGGTTCACCCTTCCTGCCTGCATCCGGTTCCTTACCGTCTGTAGGTTCAGGGCGGGGTGTTTGGTGGTGTTGAGACTCGGGCAGTCTCGGGGAATTCCCCTTCCGGGGTAGTGACGGGGGCATTTGGGCCTGTTCCTCCAGCCGTGTTGTATGAGTCTGCCAGTGGGCTCCCTTCCTTAGTGTTTTCACGGCTGCCCCGGTTTTCTGGTACGGCCGGGGCTTTGGGGGAACGGCTCGGCCCCGGGGCCTGTCGTGTAGGTTCCCGGGGCTGGGGAGGGGCTGACTTGGGGGGGCCTTGGCCCCGTTAGACCCCGTGGGGGGTTTTATCCCCCTCTAGGCGGGGCTTGTGGTTACGCGGAGTGGGGTCTTTCCTCCCCACTCGCCGTACGTGCTGTTGGAAGTCGGCCCCTCCCCGGGCTCGGTTCCTTGGCCTTTGAGTCGGTTGGTTCCGTCCTGTGGGTGGATGTTTCCTCCCCCGCTTTTTGGGACGGTGTTTTTGTCATGTTTCCCCGTTCGATGGGGTTCTGCGTGACTTTTGATCTCGGGTGCGCCTGCGCCTTCGTGTGCCTTTGGGACTAGTGTTGGCTTCTGTGTTCTCGAGGGTACGGGAAGGTTTTTCGCTACTTCCCGCATTATTGGAACGTCTGTCGGCTCCTAGTACTTGTCGCCCTGTTGGGCTACTTGTCGCCCTGTTGGGCTACTTGTCGCCCTGTTGGGCTACTTGTCGCCCTGTTGGGCTACTTGTCGCCCGGTTGGGCTACTTGTCGCCCGTTTGGGCTACTTGTCGCCCGTTTGGGTTCCCCTTTTTTTGGGCTCTTTGCTTCTTTGGCCGGTTTTATTGTTCCTGCTTCCTCTTTTGGTTCTTTTTCTCGTGCAATAGTCCTGGCTGGCGCCTTCCCGCAGGGAGGGTGTGCGGTTCGGCCAGCGTGTTATGCGCATGCGCCGTGGAGTTTGTTTTGGTCTGGGCGATGGTTCAGTGCTGGGGTTTTGCGCCCTTTTTTGCTACAGTGCTTCGCCTCTCGTTCTTCTCCCTGGCTGCGGTATGTGCCCCTTTGCGCCAGGGGTGTCCTGGTTCCCAGTTGTGGGGAGGACACCGCGGTTTTCTGTGTCATGGGTGTGGACCGCCTCCTTCGCCTCTCCCTGTTCTCCTGCGGGTCCGGCTCTGGCGTCTTCACCTGGCGGTGCTCCCAAGTTCTTCTGGGCACGGTTGAGTCGTGTCAAGTTCGAGCCACCATTCGCCAGGTGAGTTCCTGCGGTCTGGCGTCTTTTGGCCGGGCGCTGGATGCGGCGGTGTTCATATACCTGTCTTTATTTAGGTATAATTTTGTACGACTGAGACCGTTCGCACACCAGTGACTGTCCCTTTATCACCCCTTCCTGTCCCCCTCATGTGCATGTCCAACCCATGCTGGAGTCATTCAGGGGACCCTCCTTTTTTTTAATGTTGTGAGGTGTGGGGGTTGTAGGGTTGGTTCTGTACTCACCTGGTGAGGCTCCTGGCTGTGCTTGCAGGATTTGAGCTCTGGCTCTTGGGTCCCGCCTATCTGGTAGAACTTGCGGGATAGTACCAGTGGAGTGCAGTGGTGCTATTGGCACTTTTGGGGAACGCTGTATTACCATCAGTGGTCTGTGCTTGTTACACGACCTACTTGCGAGCATAAGCCTTCTTGCTGGTTCGTCCGTGGACTTCCAGGGCGCACTGGCCTGTTTTCGTATGGCAGTTCCGGCCCGTCCTGGTTGTGGGGGTATGTGGGCCGGTGGACTGCTCCTAGCGGCTGCCTGGTGGGCCATCCTCTGGCCGGTCTGGCCTGACCTTGGGCCGGGCTTGAGGTGTAAAAGAGCTCCCAGTACCTCATCCAGCAGGTATCGAGCGGGGTTTCTCCGCCGTCGGTCGCCTGGTGCAGGTTTCTGGGCCTGCAGGGTTTTGTCGTGTCTCCGTTGGCCCTGTCTGGGGTCTGCCTGCTCCGTTCTCTGCCTTTGCAGAGGGGAGTTGCTATTTACATGTTGCATGTTGCAGTGGTGCCTGTTGCTGCTGCTGCTGCACGTGAGCATTGGTACCGTGTTTCACGGTGGCGTGTCCTTGTTCCTGTGTCCGGTTGTGGAGTGGCGCTTTGCTGCCGTTTTGTGCCTGGGGATTGCGTGGGGTTTTTGTCCCTGCCTGATTGTCCACCCCTGGTTGTTCTCCTGGTTTTTTTTTTTTTTTTTTTGTGCTTCTGCTCTTTCTTCCTGCCTCTTCTGCAGCAGGAATGTTCTGCGTGTGTTCTTAGGCGTTGGTCAGCCTGTGTCCTGTGATGTGCTTCTTTGTCTCGGTCTGTTGCAGTTGTTCGTGCCCCTTGGTTCGGGTCCTGTTCTGGCGGCGACCCTTCCGCCTTCTTTGGTTTTCCTAGCTTGCCCTGCCGGTTGTTGTTGTTTTATTTTTTTGGGGGGGGGGGGTCTTGCGATGTCTGGCGTCGGACCCGTCGTTTCTGAACTCCTGGCGGGCTTGCATGCTTCGGAGTTTTTCTGTTCGGCAGACGTTCCATCTCCTTGTGCCGCCTGGGTTTCGGTGGTCGCGCCCGAGATCTTCTCGCGGCTCCGCCTTTTTCCTGGGCTCGGGGGGGCCTTGTCGGGGCTGCTTATGTTCTGCCTCGTGGTCTCGCCTCCGGTTGGTGGTCGGGTGGCTTCGTGGTAGGTGTCCCACCTGCGTGCTTCTTGGCGGCAGTATGGGGTATTTTGGCGGTCCTTCCTTTTCCTGTCCCTTCTTCGGTGGGTCCTTCTTGTTGGCTTGGTTTACTCTCGGCTTGGTTTTCTAGTGGGGGTTGGGGGCCGTCGTCTTGCCACATACTGTCGCCTCTTTTCGTGCGGCGCAGGCGGAGCCGCTTCAGCTTGCTTTCGGTCTTGGTGTTGCTTCTGCACCGTTAGTCAGCTGTCTTGTGCGTCATTTCACCTCCGGCCTGTTCGTGCGCCGCTTGCACCATCCTGGTCTCTGGTCAGCGTGCTCTGTCTTCTCCTCGGTTGGTAGTGTCCCTTCGGTTCCGGTGTGTTTTTTCGTCGGCTCTTTCCTTTGGGCCTTTGCCTCTGGGGGTCGGTTCGCTGTGTTTTCTTGCTCCTTCGGTTTTAGCGTTTTGGTTGTTTGATGGCAGCAGTCTCCATCTTTTCTGGCGCGGGGTGGGGCTGCTGCATTCTGGAGGGGTCCAGGGTTTGTTGGTGCTTTGTTAGTCGGGCCGGGGGTGTGTCGTTTTTGTGTTCAGTGGCGGCCCTCTGCTGTTGTTTGCGTGCCACGGCGTTTGGGTCCGGAGCGCGTTTTGCGTTCCGGTTCTGTTCTTCCCGATTCGCGGGTGATGGTGTCCCGGGTGGTCAGCCGTGTTCTTGCGGCTAAGCTGCCTGTGTTCTTCCCTCATGCCTGTGGCGTTCGTGGCTTCGCTGCTCTCGCTGCCGTCTGGGCGACGTGGCCTTGCAGTCTTTCGGGCATGGATTTTTGGTGTTCGTGCAGGGGCCTTGCTGCTCGTGGTTCTCGTGTTGTTCCCGGGATTTTCGGGGCTGTGGCGCCTTGGGTTGGCGTTTGCTGCCGGTTGTCTCGCCTCCTTGGGGGGTGCGTGGTGTCCGCCTCCCGGTTTTGTCCCTTTGACCTTCCTCTGTGGGTAGTTAGCTCCGGGGAGCCGACGGGGCTCCCCCCAGAAAACCAGCGTTGAATGTAATGAAACGCCATTTTCTGGGTGAGACCCGGAGGCTCCCCGGCAACCCTCCCTCCCTCCGGTCGGCGTTTTTCGCGTGTTTTGACATCCAGCCTCAGAACTGATGGGTGGATAGCCGGCGTGGGAGGTCTGGGGCTCCCCCTTCCCCCTCCCGGGGAGGGGGGAGCTGCGCAGACAGCGGCGCGGTGACGTATGACGTCATACTAGTTTCCGTGTTTTCTGTTGAAGAGTTCTATTCACTAGTTCGGCTTAGGTAGCAATTTTCACCAGAATAGGGGTTTGTTTTGGAATGCTTACCTTTCTGGATGCTTGACCCGGTCGATGGCAGACATAGAATGCTTCCAACCACACGGGGGTTTCTATAGGCCATTGCTCCCCTTGCCTCTCTGAGGGGGCCAGGTTCTGGCTCGTGGTCCCCGGTAGGCCCTAGAACTCCATACACATGACTGATGCCAAAGTCTGACATTAGCATATCAGCCGGTAAAGCTCCGGGGAGCCTCCGGGTCTCACCCAGAAAATGGCGTTTCATTACATTCAACGCTGGTTTTTTCTTGTCTTTAGGTAGTTGGCTCCGGGGAGCTGACAAAGCTCCCTCTAGAAAACCAGGGTTGAATGTAATGAAACCCCATTTTCTGGGCGAGTCCTCGGGGCTTCCCAGCATCCCTTCCTCCCTCCCTCTGGTTAGCTGTGTTTTCGCGTATTTTGATATCCAGCCTAAGAACTGAAGGATGGATTGCCGGCGTGGGGGGTTTGGGCTTCCCCTTCCCCCTCCTGGGGAAGGGGGATTTGCACAGACAGCGGCGCGCGACATGATGAGGTCATGTTCGTTTGCTAATTTTCATTTGGGGGGTTCTGTCCACTCGTTCAGCTTTCAATAGCAATAGTTTCACCAGAATAAGGGTTTGTTTTGGGATGCCTACCTATGTCTGGGTGCATTCTATGTCTGCAATGGCAGACATAGAATGCTCCCAACCACACGGGGGTTTCCATAGGCCATTGCTTCCTCGTGTGTTTGCACTGAGGTCCTGCAAAGAAAGCAGCTTTTGATTGCACTCATAACTATTTTATTTTTAATTTTCAGAAGGAAGAAGCACAACTCACCACAGCGATCTTGAGGAAAGAGCTAAATGCTTGAGAGATTGATGCTTCACATTACACCTCTCCCAAGATTGTGAAGCAAATGAAGCATCAAATCTTATGGATTAGTAACACTTTAAGACTCATATTGTTCGCATGCTGTTAGGTCATCCAGAGGCCTTCAGTCATTGTCTATTAGCTTATGCAGAAATATGAGTGCAATTCATTCATATAATTATTGATGGGCATTAACAGTATTAATGCATATGTTTTAGGGAATCAAGGCAGCATTGTACTCTTTCTGATTCCCGTGTCAAACTGCACTTATTCGTAATGAGGAACTGTATGAAATTATTGTTACTTTAAGGAACTATAAGTACTGTACTGTAATATTAGGTGATGTTCAAGTATTTGTTATTACTCTAAATACCACATAGTTTTCATTCAAAGATATGTGTGTGGGAGTAAAATATTAATCCAGCTTTTCCATGTCTTTCTGTTTGATGTTGTCTCTCAGGTTGGCTGTCATGAAATTAATGTCACGTCATAAGTTTTAAGTTTAAGGAGAAATTTGTTGTGTAATCCTCTAGTAAAGGAGTGTTTCCATCAGTTTTATCTCAAGCAGGCTGGTGGTACTATATTTGTCACTTATCTTCCCCAAATGCCTCCCAAGGTCAAGGTTTCACTTTTAGTGCACTCGTGTCGCATTTCTTTAATATTTTGCTGAAGAAGTGTAAATGAAATCTTACGTCAGTTAACAGGAACATGTGGAAGACTGAGCCTGCTGGAATATTAATATGTGGGAGACTGGGCCTGCTGGCATATTAACAATACATGTAGGAGACTTAGCCTAAACATGCTAGAAACCATTTATACCCAATTCAATTCATTTTTAATGTTGTGTATTCCATGAGTACTGAAGATATGATAACATGTCTACCGTGGTTAGTGCTTGTTTGCAGTTAAGACCTCTTGGCCAGCCCCTCTGTCCACTTCTTTCATGGTTCTTAATAACAAATTCCAGAAACAAGTGTCTTTATCTGATGTTTCCCTGTTATATTTAAGAGGGAAACTTATTTAAGATTTTGTTTTAACATTAAAATGTAACTATTTAAAATGTTAACTGAGGGAATAAGTTATCAAACATTGCCTTTAAAGATATATTATTACAGTAAATTTGTTTGAACTGCAAGATATATTGTGGCTGATATCTCTGCTTAAGTATATTATTAATTTTGTACTTCTTATGCCTCGGCATTCGGATGTAAGTTAACTGGTAGTAGAGTTACAAGGATGGAATACTGGCCTTGATCACATTCAAGGTGCTTCTGAATGGTGCCCTCTAGTTTAAACGCAGCAATGTACTGTATGTGTAATGTATATTTCCGTGATATGATGGAGAATTGTATTTAGAGCAGGAATGTTGATGTAGCATTCATTCTCAAAACATGAACACTAGTTATTTTTTTTAAATAATGGAGTAATATTTCATTTTCAAAATTAGATGCAATTAGGCAAATATGTTTTGAGTGGAGTGTGAAAATTAGTTAAATAGTTGCAGTAAAAATTCAGGGATTATAGTAAGCATTTTCATGATGGGAGCCTCTCCCTGCCTCTACCCTAATATTGTTCATCACAAGATGAGGTGCAAGAATAGTCACTCAATTGTGTAACCAAAATACATTTTTGTTACTTTGCTGTATTACAAAGTGATGAGGTTGGTGTGTGAACGGTGCGTGTGCACTCTTCCATTCATGTCTTTCCATCCGTCCACGACTTCCATATTGATGCGTTAAGTGTTTGTGACGAGGCCCAACACAAGCTGTATGTATGGACATATAGAATGTATGATCAGGGAGTGTTTTGTGAAGATGGTCTATAATATGACAGTGTCTGTAAAAGTTAAGATGGAGACACCAGAAAGAAAAGGATAGGTTTTGAAAGAAAGGTGTTGGCAAGATATGGGTATTGACCTTAATATTGGTCATTAAGAATGGAAGCATTACATAAGAGTTAGTAGAGATGTAGTCCTTACCTGGCAGGTCAGCATGTGTGAACACTGAACAATAATTACTGCTCTACACACTGCAAGATCAACTCTCAAAAGAAAATCATCAAGCCACTATGGCTATATATTAGAGTTTATCTGTTAAAGACTATTGATTAAGGATAATAGCTTTCTCAAACTGATTTTGTATGTTATTTGATTTATAGCTACTATGATTTGTCTTAAAAAGAAGTGTTTGGAAATAAATGGTCAAGTTATTTTGAAAACTGGGGTATTCTACTTTGAGATGCATGACTGCAAATAGAACAATGTAATTTGGACAGTAAGGGAAAAAGTTTCTTTATAATCAAAATAACATTGACTTTCTCATCTTTAACAAGTTAAGACAGTAAAATTTTGTTAGGGTTCATTCATAGTGGTGTTGCCTCTGTCGACTTGCATTTTCCACTACAAAGGAAACAGTTCGTGCTTTTTCCGCTTCCTATAAATAAATTACTTATTCGGCGTTCTACCCGTCATTCGTAACGACATCCAAAACCATTTGAGAAATAGATGGTTAGCTGATATAAATAAATGATATACAGGTACTGTACCATCAAATGTGACCTATCGCAGATGTCTCCTTGCTACTAAAATCAGAGTTTTTAAATGTTTTTAAGTTATGTAACTTAGAAAAATTTAATTCTTATTGCCTGTCAGAATTGCATTGTCCTACTAACAGTTGTGCACTTTCTCATAGAATGTTTTGATTTTCAGAATGATTAGAAATTTTACTTTGCTTTTGTTCCTCAGAGTCATGTCCCTCGATATAATCCTTGTTGAATCTAATATCTTTGACAACTCTCGTCTTGTCATTTTGGTCTCATATTGACACCTTGAATGATGTTTAGAAACTTACAAATATTCTGCAACACACGGTACTAGGTGAGTACACGGTGCTAGATAATTGCTTGCTTTTCCATCATGTGTTGACAAGTTATTTATATATAGCTTGTGTGTAATTAGGCTTATGTAGATTTCCATTTTCTGTTTGGTTATATCGAACAAGAAAGGCCACAGGAATAAATAACTTTCGATGTTGGATAGTTAATTATTGGGGGTAGCTATCCTTGGTTGTTTACATAAAACATTAGCAATTATTTGGTAAAGATCTGTATGTGGGATGCTAGTTCACTTGAGGCAACACCTTTATGACTGCGTACCCAGCAAAGATGTACTTTATATATATATATCTCCTAAACAGTGAGATATACAACCAATGATAAAATTTCATTGTGCTGGGGAGGATGCTTTTTTACAATTAATGTTAAATTACAAAGCAGCATAAGTAGGATTATAGGCTGCACATATTTCTTTGTATTCTGGGGGTTATGTAACATAACAAAATGTAAAATAATGTTTGTAGGCTTATTTTTATGCAAGTTTATTTTGTGCTAAATATTTGTTTCAATATATCCTAATTACTGCCTTAGCGTCATTCTCTTTACATCTCTACAAAATTTATGAGATTGTTCATAATTATATTGCAACACCTGTATTTTTTGTTTGTATTCATGCAAGTGCAGTAAATACAAATAATTAGAGTATTTAGAAAGTAATTAATGCAATGATATGAGTATTTAGAAAGTAACTTGAGGGCTTTAGGGCCCCTCAAAGAGTAACTTTGAGGGCCCACTGTATGCCTTTATTCCAGATATGTTCCCTTGTTCTCCCTCTCATGTCATTCCAAAGTTCAGGAATTGGTTCCAAATTTATAAAAAGAATATTGGTTATAAAGCCTGTAAATTAAACATACTATCAGTTCGTAGCAAGAGAGAGAGATCCGCTTATCTGTATTGTCATAGAAATGAACACATCTTGCATTAATCAGTCCTTCTAATAAAAGACGTTTCTTATAGTATTAGAATATACGAATATTGACATTTATAATAATTACCAGTTCATTTAAGTAATGTGTATAATTTGTTCATGGAATCGATTATTGCACATGGAATTTTTTTATTGCACATTATTTTTTCATGGAATAAATTATTGTGAGTAAAGACAAATTTACTCACATGGTTACTGCTCATTAATAATCAAAATGTCATTGAAATTAAATTATCAAAACTGATAACATCATACATAATATAATTTGGCTTTAATGGTTTTAATTAGTTATTTTGTATTATTGTTAAGAAATTTTATCAGACTTAACATTTTTGGCGGTCACCACCTCTATTGCTGGTACTAGTACAGTATCAAGAAAAATTGTCAAATCCTAATCAACTCATGTAAGCTTCAACCCTAAATTAAAACAAAATTATTCCCAGTATCCTATCTTATTGATCAAAATCTGTTATAAAGTGCGGCACATCTATGGTACTTGCATATGACCATAGCTGTGCTAGCACAGACTTTTTCTTCACAAAGATAAGGTGAGCCATTAATACGAATGACTAAGAGTGCGAGGAACCGCACTTGGTTGCTGTAGACGGGGTTTTACAAATTATTAGTAATAAACATTTGGCCCCGTGGGACTTGGTGAGGAGGTAAGCTTGTGTATCCAGATATACCGAGTGTGTCCGATAATGTATCCCGGTGGCATCAATAATAGTAAACCAGTTTGTTAAAACATGTTCTTCATTCCTATTACAGTTTGTGTACAAGAAAATACTGTATTTACAAGCAATAATACAATAATTTGTCAAAAATAATGTCCAAAAAGCATTATCATTAAAATATGCACAATGCACATTTATGCCATAGATATAAAATGGACTTGAAATGAAGAAAACTATATATATATATATCTATTGTTGACATTTTCTAATTAAAAAACAGCTTGAATATACAATACAATTTTGCTGAAAATAGCATTTAATGTGAAAGTTCCACAGGTGCAGTGTTCTGTTCAAATGATGTTATATTATACGTAATTACATCTTGTAATGGCGTGCTAAATGATCTCGAGGAACTTCTGAATACTGTCTAGTGCAGGCTATGCTATATAGCCATCTTGGCTTAGTGTTTTCTTTTGAAAATGCTCAAGCAGCATTTTTTTGTGGCATATACACCAGTTCTCAGTTGGTTAACCTGAGCTGTTTATATATTGATGGATTAGGGAAAGTCGGCTGAGGCCACGAGTACAACAACTACAGTACTTTACTACCACAACTCACCAGCCTGACATCTCTCGTATAATATTATACTATATACAGTATACAAAATAACACTAATTAGTACATTTCATCTTGTAAAGTATTAATTTTTTAGGTTTCTGTTTATGATCATTGTGGATGGTGTGAGTCAAATTAGGCACCAGTGGATGTGGAGAGGAAATGAGTGGCGAGTGCATGGAAACGTTGTCGCCCTTGGCTAGGTTAGCCTCGACAAGCCAGCCAATTGAGGATTTCCTGTCCCCCAGCAAGGACAATTTTTTGTTTTTAATTATTGATACGCTATATCCATGGCGTATATTATTTTCTCAGAATAATGTAGTAATGTATGTATCTTTTTATTATATAGCATCAGTGGTGTTGACAATCACAAGAGTAATGAGGTTAAAGGCCACAGATAATGTGCTGTTTAAAAGTAAACCGATGAGATTTTCATTTTCTTCACCCTACACGTTTTCCAACAGTATGTCAGTTTAGAGCCATATTGTAATTCTTGTATTTTGATTTATAATGTGTATTATTGAGAAATAACTGATAAATTTTGCTAATGGAAATTGATGCATATGGTAATAAATATCCAATAAAGTATTATGAGAATTGTAGATTCTCTCAAGTGACTTGTAACAAATAATGTGTAGGGTATCGTAGCATGTTGAAAACATTGCTACTTTTCCTTCCAGAAAGTACAGGCAGCATCTTAATGGCAAAATATGTATTTTAAAGCACAAGGATACAAATGTATTAGTATATGTTGTAATACTAATAATGAAAAAGAAATCTCATGTTTGTCGTCACATTTATTTCCATTATCCAATTCATTTAAAACATTATAATTTTGTTAAAGACTGCCTGCCTGCCTATTTTTTTTTTTTTTTTATCATTATTCTGTGACCTCAAAAACTGATATTGTAACAGTATGGAGAGTTTCCAATGTATTCCTAAACCCCTTTTTCACCAACGAATTGTGCTCGGTTAATATAGTTTTTATTGAAAGTAGGCTTAAGGCTGTAACCCAGCAAAGTACAGTACTATGAATTAAAGTATTATAATTAAGATTTAAGAGTGGACAGTGAATAAAAAATGGATTAGTTTGTAGATGTCAGATGAGAATTGTTTACTGCATATGAATGCATAAGTACAGTACAGCAAATTGTCATGCTTGCAGTAATGAGCTGATCTGCAGTTATTTTACATGTTGAAATAACACTGTGATTATTAGGTTAGATTGCAAAAATATTTGTACCGGCATATTGGAAGAATTTTGTGCACCATGGATTTGATACGCCTATTTATGAGTACAGTACAGTACTCACAAATACATATTTACTGTAAGTTATTCACATACTGGAGGTCAGTCATAATTTATTTCAGGTGTTCTCTCTGGTGGATGTTCTCGGTAGAATTATGTAATTAAATAATTACTGCTACTAATAACACACAACTTCAATATCCTCAGAGCCAGATAGCATTTTGTACTTTTTGCATGTAATTGGAAAATTAATAAAGATGATTTAAAACATCTTATTTTATCCTGCTTAGAAAAATATTAATAATAATAGTATTGTTAATTTCTTTCCTGTCATGTAGCTTTTGAGTCTTGTCTGATGTGATGTTGACATGTTATATTTTTGTATCATATCTTGAATTAAAGTATGAAAGCCCTTTAACTGGGAACATTGTGATGAAAGTATAAAACAGAGTGGCACATCAAGGCAATTGGTTACCTTTTGTGTTTTTTTTTACTTAAACTAAGATTATCTGATTGTCATCTTACATTCACTTTATGACTAATGCAAGAACTTTTTTTTTTAAGCTAGCTGCATCTGACTTTACCAAAGTACAAAACTAGAGTTGATTACTGTACACATAACTACCTACTGTCTAGACTGAGTTTCTATAGGGTATTTGCTGGCAACATCCTTGAAACCCTAAAAATAACTTCAAAGATTGGTAATAAAGCAGTCTTAATAATAAATTATCTGACAAGACTAACAATGCACAACATTAAAATATTAAAGTGTAGAAAATAAACTTACAAAATGCACATCAAAATGTTACACAATTCTGGAATGGAATGTTTATTTCCACGGAAGTGTGGATGGCAATTTATATGACGTGGACATGGGTCAGTAATTTCTCTGGGCTTCAGTAGTAGTCAGGGAAAGTAAAAAATTCCAGTTTGGCAGCAGGATGCTGCTTCTGAAAACTTTCATTTTAAGACTGCTCATAGCAGGGTTGATAGTGCTACGGCCTCACACACGTGGGGTCCACGGTTCGTTACCCATACAGTTCAGGTGAAGGGAACGTGCCTATCACTAACTCTAGGTAGAGTGTTGATTTTATCATCAGCAGCATTCTGGTCACTAAATCATCAAAATGAATCCTTTTGCACAAGTTTATTTTCTAGAGCATGAGGTCCTTTCATGATGAACAGATGCACCAAACAATGGCAGAGTGCAGTGGATGCCTGGTTCATGTTGTGAACATTACAAACAGCAGTGTTCACCGATTTCTGAATATTGTACATAGCCTGTCTCAGTCAGGATCTTCTAGGATACTTCCATCACAAAAAAAGAAGACACAGTGGAACCTCGATTTTAGAATGCCCCTACTTACAAATTTTTTGAGTTATGACCCCAATTTTGTTGGATAATTTGACTCTACTCATGACCTTGGCTTCTCTTTGCGACTGTTGATACACGTATGGGTCGACCGAGCGCGTGGTTCTTGGTGGCACGGGTGACCCCACCTCAGTTTACTAGAGCCGCCCGCTTTGTGACGATCGCTCTTGTAAAGAATTTCATTGTTTTTGTGCTTTTTTGTTTTGTGAACATAAAAGTAATTATTATATATTATACAATGGGTCCCAAGAAAGTCAGTGGTGAGGTTCAGCCTAAGAAAACACATCAGGTTGACCATAGAGGAATACAGTCTGTTCCTCCTATCGACGCCGTCAGCGTCATGTTGGGGAGGCCTCATCCCTTCCCTGGGCGAGGAGGAATGATGCTGGGCATCATCCCTTTACCCCTTTGGGGTCACCATGACTGCTTACTGTGTGCCAGCAACCGGGTTTACCTCTCACAAGTGCCGTCACGTGCCTAGCGATGGTCCTTGCCCCAGCTATGGTCGTGTGCTTGCTGTCTGCTTATGCCTGTTCCCATATTGGACGGCTCCATTACAAAAGCAGGCTGTCTGCGCAGGATGACTTCTGCAGTCATCCTGCAGGCATAAGGCAGGGGGTCCTCACCCCAGCTACGGTTGTCCACTTGTGCCTGAGCTCCTAATGGAGCTCAGGATGGGTCCATTAGGAAAGCAGGATGGCCCTCACCTGTCTGATGCATAGGCCCCCTAGGCATCAGACAGGTGGGGAAGCATGTCTCCACACTTCCCACTTGGAGTCCTTTGGCCTCGTGCCCTCCTCCTCCCCTCCTTTGTACCTGTGTCTCTGTGTTTCCCGCTTGGTGTCTCTTTGTCCTACGCTCTTTGTGCCTTTTGTTCCTGCACTTCACTTTCGGTGTCCCTTGGCCCCGCACCCTTCCCTCACGGCTTGTAAGACACACTAGCTGTGATGTCTGGGCCTTCCTTTCAGGGCCAAAGACACTTTTGGGGGAAGGCCCTTGCTGCCGCTTCATCATAAGGCCCCTCCTGGGTTGTTGTTGTTATAGATTCAGCTACTCGGAAGTTCCAAGTAGCACGGGCTATGATGAGCCCGTAACTTACCTGGCACAGGAGCGGGGCAAGTAGCACGGGCTATGGTGAGCCTGTAGTGGACTTACCTGGCACAGGAGTGGTGCCCGCCTGGGACCTTGTTGGTGCCAAGGCAAGCTCAACACTACAGTTATGCCCCCACCCCCCCTCCTTCAATCGGGCTGTCCTCCATCGCAGGCCAGGCCTGGGCCATCAACGTGAGGACTCAAACCAGGGCCATCCTACAGGCATTCGATGCCTGCTAGCACATTCTGGCTGCCCTGCATGCCCTTGTCAGTAGGCGGCTGCAGGACTCCTCTACGGGCTTCGTCCCTTTACGGTGCGGGACAGTGGGCCTAAGGGCCATGCTGTGTGTCTGGCCCCTTCAAAACATGCATTCGGCCTTCGTGCCTGCATCTCTCGGGTTTCGTCTTGTCGGCCCACATGCCTTCTTTATTCAGGCTTTGCCCATCGGCATTCGTGCCTCTACATTCGGACTTTGTCTCTCGTTTGGGTGGACCTGTAAGGAATGGCGTGTCGGCCCCCATCCCTCCTGCATTGGGCTATGTTCCTTCCGGGAATGGACTAAATGGAGACAACCTCACAACACGCTTATAAGTGGTTGCGAGGGCAACACCGCCAAGCCTTACGGCATGGGAGGGGGAAGGTTCCCTCCCTCAAAGCTGTAATCAGCAGCTGTGGTAAGTATTCCCTGCACTACGGAATGGCAGTGACATTGTGTGGGCCAGTAAACACATGCATCATTCGGCCTACGTGCCTTATTTATTCAGCCTATGTGCCTTCTTCATTCAGCCTATGTGCCTTCTTCATTCGGCCTCCGTGCCTTTTACATTCGGGCTACGTCCCTTCTTCTTTCTGGCTTCACCCCTCCTTGGGTGGGCCCGTCAGAAAATGTGTACTCCATTGGGCTACACACACCCTCACATTCGGCACACGTTCTCCACTCCGGGCTTCGGCCCATCTTTGGCAGACACGCCTTACCCTTCTCAAGACTGCTCCGTCCTCCAGCGGGTCACTGCCACCTGGGATCGGACTACATGGAAATGAAACCCTGTCAAGTTTTGGGAGGGCGCGAGGGTGTGCACCTCCGTGCCTGTTCGACTTGCAGGTGTACCCTCCATCTAAGCTATTATTCAGCAGCTGAGGTAAGTTCCTACACTACGGGACGGATGTCATGCTGCCTTAAGCCTATGCGCCTGTCAGACCATGCAGTGAGCCCTTAATGAATGGCAGCCACTGCGTCTGTAGGAACATTTCAGCAGGGCCGAGACTTACCTGAATTACTGTATAATTCTTCCATCATACTTATTATGTTAGAATTAATACTTCTCAGTATGTTGTAAGTATAGTATAACTTGAGGTTATAATTAACATGATTAATAATTATGTTAATTGGTTTCTCGTTAGATAAACTGTACGTGTTGAGGGCCTTTTTGGCCTGCTGCCATTTATGGGGAAACATTTTTGAGTCTGGTGCAGTGCGGGAGCAGTGAGCACTTTAGTCCTCCCTGAAGGAGCCAGCTTTCTTTGGAGTAGACCCATTACATGCATTTCCTCCCTTCTTCCTGGTGTGGAGTGCAGGCAGTTCCACTTTCCCTTTGTAGAGCTTCCTTAGCCAAGCCCACTATGAGTAGTAGTCTTGGAGTCTGCCACTTGTTTTGGGCAAGCCTTAGAGGTGTACACACATACTTGCACTTGTGAGGATTGCACTTCGGCACATGGTCCTGCCTCTCAAGTGCCATTAAATAGTATCCAGTTTCCTAAGCCTTTGAACTCTCAATTTTTTCTGGGGGGAGCCCCGTCGGCTCCCCGGAGCTATCCCAGGCTGATATGCTAATGTCAGACTTTGGCATCAGTCATGTGTATGGAGTTCTTAGGCCTACCGGGGACCACGGCCAGAACCGGGCCCCCTCAGAGAGGCAAGGGGAGCAATGGCCTATAGAAGCCCCCGTGTAGTTGGAAGCATTCTATGTCTGCCATCGACCGGAACAGGCACCCAGAAAGGTAAGCGCCCCAAAACAAACCCCTATTCTGGTTAAAATTGCTACCTAATACCGAACTAGTGGATAGAACTCCCCAACCGAAAACAAGCAAATTAGTGTGACGTCACACACTGCCGCGCCGCTGTCTGCGCAGCTCCCCCCTCCCCGGGAGGGGGAAGGGGGAGCCCCAGACCCCCCGCGCCGGCTACCCACACCTCAGTTCTTGAGGCTGATGCTATAGGCGATGGTCGTGTGCTCTGGCTCCGGTGTCGCTACTGCACTGTGCTTTGAGTGTGGTGTTAGTTTTGTGGGTGCGAGAGCCAGGAGTTATCTTCAGTACTCGGGCTGCATGCGTCTAGGGCTGCCTTCCCTAGGTGCCCTGTAAGTACTGCCCTTGGGGCTTGGGGCCACCTTCCACAGGCTCCTCGGGGTCTGCCTCTGCTGGTCCGTTTTACCTTTCGGTTTTTCGGCCGCCTGTTGGGCTCTTGGGTGTTCTGTTCTCCCTTGTTACCGGCAGGTAAGAGGCAGTTTGCACTGGTAGGGGCGCAGGGTGCTGCTCAGCTTGTAATTCCCGACATCGCGGCCGGCTCTGTTCCTTGGGGTTCGCTGTCCTCTTGCGGGGTTTTGTTTTTCTTTTTGTTTTTGCCTGGTGGGGGGTTCTGTCATTTTATTCAGTTTGTTTTTGCCCTTCCACTGTTCTCCTCGGTGGCGCCCCCTGCTAGGTCCCCGTGAGTGTACACGTCCCTGGGGTTCAGCTTTAGAAGTTTGCTTGGTAGTTTTGGGCGCCGGTTTGCAGCACCCTGCCTGGGACTACCTGAGCGCGAGTCCTCTTAAAGTAAACGCTCAGGACCCTGGGAATCCCCTAGGGGGCGCGTGGGTCCGATGGATGTGACCCCGGGGTCCCCACTCGCTGTGTGCGAGTTTGAGGGTTGCTCGGTCCCCTTGTCTCAGGGTGACCCTCATTGTTTTTGCCTCTGCCACGCTGCCTGTTGGGTCGGTGATACTTTCGACCCTGAGTCCTGTGAGTGTTGTT